TCAGATTGCTGTCAATCGGCCATCCTTGACCAGATTTTGAAACAAATTGTCATGGACATGCATCCTAACATGTATAAAGTACATGTATGTGCCAAATTTGAATGAAAACAGATACCGCATAAAAAACAAAACAAGATGCCTGCCAATCGACCATCTTTGATCCAATTGCGAAATAAATCGTCATGGACATGTATCCTAAACATGTATAATCTATGTACCAAGTTTGAATGACAACTGACAAAGCATGTCCAAAATACAACATTTTCAAAAAACAAGATGGCTGCCAGTCGGCCATTTTAAATCGAATTGCTAAACCACTGCATGTGCATATGTCCCACATAAGGTACTAGGCACATGCAAAGAATGAACGGAATCATTCCACAGGATTCTGAAATATTACTATTGATAGACTGACGCACAAACGGGCGGACAGACTCAGGAACTCACGGATGGTCGGGGACATGTATCCTAACATGTATGATCGATGTACTATATTTGAATGAAAACTGACAAAGCATGTCCAAAATACAACATTTTCAAAAAACAAGATGGCTGCCAGTCGGCCATTTTGAATCGAATTGCTAAACCACTGCATGTGCATATGTCCCAGATAAAGTACTAGGCACATGCAAAAAATGAACGGAATCGGTCCAAGGGATTCTGAGATACGACTCTGGACGCACAGACGGAGACCGAATTATAAGTCCCCGTTTTCGGACTTCGTCCGAACGGGGACTAAAAACACTTGCAAAGTGATCATCCCAATCACTGTACCACAACGCCCTCAAATGATTGACTGCAAGCCATTTGAAATGACTTCTTACCTTGATGGTGTAATTCCTTGCGATTCCTCTGTATCCATCGGTTCATGTGAGGTTTTAAATGAATCACCATCTAGTGGAGTTCTAGGTTGTGGTGATAATACAACTACAATACAATAAATATATAATTATTAGAAGAATTGAACAATTCTGAAATAGACAAACATTTAGCTGACCTTACAAGTGAAAAAGGAAACAATTTTACGAATCAAGATTATGAAGAGCAAGAAATCGCCAGCTTGTTAGGTCGAACAGACCGAGAAATGATCGGTTTATGTTCACGCTATTCGTGTGTATGAATAACGCAACAATAGACCCAGCAACTCGAGTGATTTGGACTCGACAATGCGGAAATAACTGGTGGGAAGAAATTGGATTCTCTCCAAACAGAAACACCTCCTTCTTCACTTTAAGTTAAAAAGATTTGAATAATCCTTGTGTTTGCCGTCAAACTTTCAAACTGAGAGAATTAAATCAGTCACTATATTCATAAAACACACAATTTCAAAGAGTGAGCAAAAATTCAAGCATTTCACAAAATTTAATAAAGGTCACTGTGACTTCCCAACTCAAAGACTCACACTAAAATATGCGCAGATTCAAAATTTGATTTTGTTTGAATTGAATAATTCTTCCACCAAAATTTCTCTTGAATTTTCCAAGGGTAAGTATTTATCAAGTGAATGCTAAGTTCCCTTTTTTCCCCCCATCACAAAGTCAAAAAATAGCCCCATTTATAGTCTGCACTTTTCTTAACAAGATTGAGACAAAAATAGCCAAATTTTTGAATAAAAACTGACAATTGACTAAAATTTAGTCTGTTGGCTCCAATATTACAATTCATTTCCAGAAATAATGAAAAATAATAAAAAAAAGTGCAGAAAATTTTTTGCAAGAAAGTCTGGTGGTTGAAGAGGGAGGAGGAGCTTTGTTTGTAAACAATGACACGCTATGGCCATCTGACGCATGCGCAGGTGACGACTCCCCCACTTTAAATGATTAAACTGGTCTATCACACTGTTCAGCAGAATACAACACAGAATACAACTAGACAAATAAATTTCTTACTTTCTTCATCTTCATCCACACTATCAAAATCATATGGATCATAATCGTCATCACCTTTCTTCTTAGGAGGGCCTTCCCTCGAACTTTGTTTGGCTTTCCTGGTATGAGAAATACACTTATTAGTCAAAGTTTTAAAACAAGTAATTGTAAATGACATGGTCGTCATCAACAACCTCTTTAACACACAAACTTATTTGCAACCTAATATGCATTATGTTTGAACGAAATCTATGAAGTCGTATGTAGGAAACTGTTTTAGACACTCAAGTATCAGATTCAAACATTTTAGGTAAAAAATGGAAGCCAAGAAGCCATTTTGACCAAATTGCATGACAAACAACATCCAATAGATGCCCATGAATCTTGGTCAGTGACTTTAGCCTCCATCACCATGGATGTATTGTACACCAATCAACTCCATGTAGAATCATCAGTGATTGGTTCAAAAAAATCAAACTTTTTTTTAAACATCTTATTTTTTTACCAACATTTTGGAGTGGTATTTTTCTTTAATATTTGTTTTTTTGAAAAGACTTAATTTTTTATTATCTATAGAACTTAATTTTTTGAAGGAGTCACTAAAATCAGACAGGTTTATTTTGTCAAACTGCACAAAAAATGAAACTAAAAAATCAAAAGATTAGTATTAGTCAAACACACACAATATACAGTACCTTTTCCTCTTTTTCTGACTTGCATCATCACCATTGGTAACAGTTTCTTCCTCACTAATCTCTTCATCACTTTCATCATCTTCACCTTTCTTTTTCTTCTTCTGTTTCTCTAAAACCTAAAAAAGATAATCATCTTGATTTCTCGCTCTAAGCAGGTATAGACACCACAGATAAACAGACTTTTCTATTCACGCAAGCAATTGGGTTATACAAAATTTTGATTTTTCCCCCACAATTATCACACATGCAAAATTATTTCTCAATGCATTAAAATCATTCCATAACTTGCATGTTTAGTAGACTTATTTTTTCACTCTGCAGACATTTTCAAATGGCAAAGCCTGTATTACCACATGAAAAATCATGTTTTTGTTCATTACTGATGAATTTTTTTTTCAATGTAAAAATTTAGACCCTTAAACCAGGTTTAGATTTTAATCATTTTTAGTTTAATTAAAAATTTGATTTTCCTAGGATACTTAGACAAAATACCAAATGTATACAATATTTATACCAATAAAACACTCCACTCGACTTATGCATGTGACTAGGAGAGCTATGCTATTAAAATCTTTTACTAAATATTTTGAATTGCGAGCATGATAATTATTGAGTGTGGTTTCAATCTTTTCGCCACCAGACTTATCGTCCAAATTATTCTGCACTTTTTTTCAGGAATTTTTTAATATTTCTAGAAATGAACTATAATTTTGGTGCCATCAGACCAATTGGAGTCAATTTTCAGTTTTTACTCCAAAAATTTGTCTATTGTTGTTCCAATCTCCTGAAGCAAAGTGCAGACTATAAAAGTGACTATTTTGTGAATTTGTGATGAAGACGGAACTGGTGGTGAAAACGCACTGGAAAATTTGAAAAAAAAAAAATATTATTGGTACTGTAAAATGACTAATTTTCCCTGGGTTTAAATTTCACTGATTTGCCATTTCAGGCATATTCAGTGGGTTTTAAATTCACGGTTTTGTCATTTAGATAATGTGTTCTATGCTAAATTTTACATATTCACTGTGTTTTAATTTAGCGCATTTTTCCAGTCAGCGAAATAAGCTAAATTAAAACCCAGTGAATAATTACCCCCTTTACAGTATATAAATATAAATGGTATTATTGTCAAATAATGTAATTGTACATACCTTCTTGAAAATAGCAAATTCTATCAGTTCCACAGCACCCCTGGCATCCTGCAACTCTACATTTTTCGACATTCTTGCCTTGGCATGGGCGGTAGCAAGACGAATCAATGTTTCTAACGATCGAGCTGTCACAGGTTGCGTCTGTAATTGAAATATATAACATTCAAGGTCATGTGACTAACTTAGGAGATTTGATTTGCTACCCAACAAGCCAATCATAGAACATGAAAGAATGAGCCATACAGAAATAAATTTTGTTTAACAGAAATGTTCCCCACTTAATTTAGGTAAATTAACCCAGTGAAGGTAATTTTGAAAGCGAGACGTGCAGACTTACCCGTGCCACATTATTACCAGTCGATTCTTGACTTCGTAATTTGACATATTCTTCAGCAATGTGTTCGGCAGCCTCTCTGGTTAGTTGTGGCTTAATTGCTTTAGCAATATGGATGTATTTTCTCATGAACTTCATACTTATAAGTTTCTTTCTATTTAACAATAAACATACAATAAAAGTCATACAATGTATCTGTGTTTTGACAAACATACTTTAATCATAATATGTCATGCATGGATTGAAACAGTTCTGTAAACAACAAAGACAGTACGGTGATTGTATTGACCAGCATGCAATGGAGATTTATGCGATATAATACCCAAATTTTATACTAAGAATTTGTATCAATTTAAAGCCGCTTTTGGGACTTCAATAACAGGTGGTTATGCAATGTTTTTTCTGAGAAAGAACCAGGATGAAGAAGACAACACAAGATTCTAGATTAAGGTTTAGATTTACATAAAGTACACATGTGGTATCGCGATTGACTCGTATTACTACACTGTTATTTTGTTAATCAGTAGATACTAACTTTTTTTTTCAATTTATATCTCAATAGTAATAAATCACTTTATTCACAACTATGCAATATCAAAAAATGAAGGCATCCTTATCCAAAATAAACCTATGCTGTTTTTCACAGTGTTTACCAGGAAATGGCGGCTTGAGTCCAGAATTCTATATCTGGTTTTTGCCTATTATTAAACATCTGTCACCGTAACGCCATAAGATACAGTGTGCCATAATTTTGCGGTGTTTTACGGGGTATTTTCATCCTACCATATTAGGAAATGCGAATTCCAAATATGGAATGATTATGCGCGTAAGCGTTCTCCAATAATAAAAACAAACATGGCTGCCACCAGTGTTTGACCGGACTCCATACAAAGAAGTTTGGTGATTGTGTTCTAAACTTTTTAGATTTTGGCATTTCCGTGATTTATGTTTGTACTGTCTAAGTGCATACAGAGGCATCTTCGTAATAACCTTATATTATTCAACAAATAGTCACAAACTCGCTAAACACTGCTTGTATATTAACTAATTTATCATAGACGTCTTCTAATTGGCACAAAATATTGTACAACACAACGCATCACACAGTACGGTGGTTCGTCCAACTTACTTTTTGTCTCTATTTGGACCGTGTAATAAATTATCATGTTTCTCGTATATTGGAGTTTCCTCATCTTCTTCATCTTCATCATTGTCGTATGTTGTCAACGTGTCTATAGCACTACCCATTGGCATGGCTGTGTAGAAACAGATTCAGATATAGTTACAATACAATTACCCTGTCAGCTGAGATAGCTTCACTGTTAGCAATGCACATTATAATTAGGGAATTGAAGATATCATGAAAGACAGAGTTCCACCTGAGATACTTATATATGTACAATATCAAACTCGACAAAAATATCACTTTTTACAAAAAATTATCTTCAAAATTCAATAATTGAATATCCTCATGAAATAAACAAATCTAAGAGAATTCTACCCAAAGTACACTAAGACATAATTGTGGTTTTCAACAAGAAAATGTAAAAGAAACAAGCAGCCTGTCGGCTGAGATAGCTCCGCTGTTAGCAATGCACATGGCAATTAAAGAACAGAAGATATCATTACAAAATGAACAAATCTGAGAGAGGTCCACATGTAGTACCTATATATGTAATATCAAAGCAATTGGACTTGCGGTTTTTAACAAGAAGTTGAAAATATCACTTTTTAGCAAAAATGACAAAAATATTCACCAAAATTAGAGAATTGAAGATATCATCATGAAATGAACAAATCTGAGAGGTCTACCCAAGGTACATATAGACCAAGTATCAAAGCATTCAGGCTTGTAGTTTTCAAGAAGAGGTCGAAAAAGTAAAACATTGACACGGACGACAGACAATCACTCATATGATAAGCTCCGCTCGACAAAGT